GCAATAGTAATAAAAACTGCATGCATTCATATAGAAGCTGCCACTGTACATGGTGATACCCATTATTGACAATTTCATCCATGCAAGAGACACCCATCAGACAAAAGAGAAGGAACCTGACCTTGAGGATTTCTATGGAATAAGCCAGCGTTCCTACCCACTCATACTAAAGAGAAAGCAAAAGGACAAAGGAAGCTATATAAAACTCCACTTTGCAGTTTCATTAAGGAGCTTACATCAGTACTAACCCATATACTATCTTTGACTCATTGATAATATCTTCTCATAAAATCAATTTGTTAATCAAAGAGTCATTAGCCTTTACATTAAACAAGCTGTGAGTTCATGGAAAGTATAGCTGTCTACCTGGAGTCACTAATATTTCACTTGCAATGCCTTTCATGCACCAGATGCTTGTCTGTCTTCTATTGCTGTGATGAAACACCATGACCAAGGCAGTTTGGAGAGGAAAGGATTTATTTGGGTTATACCTCCATGTCACTGATCATCATTGAAGGAAGTCAGGACAGGAGTTCACACAGGACAGGAACCTGGAGGCAGGAGCTGATGCAGAGAGCCATGGAAGGGTGCTGCTTACTGGCTTGTTCATGCTCTCCAAGGACCCCTTCTCAAGTCTTTAAAACCAGTACCACCTGAGTGACTTTTTTTTCTTTTTTTTTCTTTTTTATTGATTATTTTATTTATTTACATTTTTAGTGTTATCCCCTTTCCAGGTTTCCCCTCCACAAACTCTATGAGAGATTTCTCCCACCCTCGCACCCACACACCCACTCTCACATCACCAGCCTAGCATTCCCCTACACTGGGGTATCGAGCCTCAAAAGGACCAAGGGCCTCTTCTCCCATTGATGCCAGATAAGGCAATCCACTGCTATGTATGCAGCTAGAGCCATGGGTCGCTCCGTGAGTATGTACTCTTTGGTTGATGGTTTAGTTCCTGAGAGCTCTGGGCGTCTGATTGGTTGATATTGTTGATCATCCTATGGGGTTGCAAACCCCTTCAGCTCCTTCAGTCCTTCCCCTAACTCTCCCATTGGGGTCCCCATGTTCAGTCCGATGGTTGGCTGCATGCATCCACATCATATTGGCCTCTCAGGGGACAGCCACACCAGGCTCCTGTCAGCAAGTACTTCTTGGCATCAGCAATAGTGTCTGGGTTTGATGTCTGCAGATGGGATGGATTCCCTGGTGGAACAGTCCCTGGATGGCCTTTCCTTCAGTCTCTGCCCAACTCTTTGTCCCTGGATTTCCTTTAGACAAAAACAATTCTGGGTTAATATTTTTGAGGTGGGTGGGTAGCCCCATCCTTCAACCAGGGGGCCATGCCTAACCTCCGGATATGGGCTCTACAAGTTCTCTCTCCCCTCTGTTGGGTATTTCAGATAATGTCATCCCTGTTGGATCCTGGGAGCCTCTTCCTTTCCTGACTTCTGAGACTTTCTAGTGGCTACCCCCAGTTCCTTATCCTCCACTGCTACACACCTCTGTTCAACTTCCTGACCTGAGTGACTCTTATACTATCCAACTCGGCTGCCAACAGGAGAGTTAACCTTGGCCACCTCTGGAACACAGTTTCTGTGCGCTGGCCCTGAGAAAACACTTCCTAGCAGACTTCACCTCAGTGATGCTGGTCTCTGCTTAATCACAGCTGATTAAGCTGGCCCAGCTGACCAGCATCAATTGTTCCAGCAAAGCAAAAGTTTTACTTCAGCATTTTGGTCTCTTGCTAATCGGAGCTGATTCTTCAGCCCCAGCTGACCAAATACCACAGGTTCTTCACACATAAGGTCTAGTAAAGTTATTACCTGTGTTGTTGTTGTTGTTGTTACTATTGTTATTATCTCTCATTTCTGGTGTGGGGTGTGGGGTAGAGCAGGGTTCAGTCAATCTGGAACTTCATGCAAAACTAAGATGCTCATTACCCGAAGAAAGCATTCACCTCTCCAAATAAATGAGTTCCCTAAAAGACTAAATATTTCACAATATTCTAACGACTCTTCAAGGCTGGCTGCGATGACTCATTTCCAACACTCAGAAGGTTGAGGCAGGAGGATTCCCCAATTTCAGTGAGTTCCAAGCCTGCGTGGGCTATAAAGTAAAACCTATTCTTGCCCTTAAATTTTTTTAAAAAAAAAACTAAATAGGATAGAAAGTGGGGGAGGAGGATGACAATGATCAAAATATATTGTATGGCATTCTCAGAGGATATAAAATAAAAAACATTTTAAAAATTAAAGAGGTTACACCTAAGCTGCTATCCAGAGTCCATCACTAATATACATAATGACTAATTTCCTTATATATGAAACACCATTTGTATGAATTCAGTAGATACAAGAAGACCCCTAACACTGCTAATCGTTCATTGCTATTGACCTCGGTTATATTATTTTGGATCTCACCATTCCCACTTTGCCTGCTCTTACCATCACTCCCTAAGGGGTCTATAATTATCTAGCAGTGCCCAAATGCCTGGCCACGTGCACTCCGGTCACCATCAATGGCTGACTGGAACAGGAACAGGAGCATCTTAAAACAAAACAGCTGCATCCCAGGCGCTTAAGAGTCAGGTGGAATATGATAGCTGCTATTAAGCTCCTTTGAGCTCGTCTTGACTTTGATGATTTCCCTCTTCCTCTTCTTTGCCAAACTCCAATTTGATCTTGTAAAATCGCTCCAATGTTCGTTTGGTTTTGTGCTAATGTTTTAGTTGTATTGTTGTCAATTTCAGGATTTGGGCTGGTTTCAGTCTTATGGGACTTTCCCCCGTTTATCTATTTTGTCTGGAGAAACTGTGGACTGAAGTAAAAGTCTTGCTAAAGTCTCCTCAGTGGGGATGGAAGTAGCAACAGTTAGTCCCTAACATTGACCTAATTCAAAGGCCCTGCCCTCCAAAGCACTTCTTGATAAGTACCTGGAGTGGTCTTTACATGTCAGAATGGCTTCTACACACTGTGTCACCAATGTCCTTTCCCAACACACCCCATTCCACTGCCCACTCTTTGAGTGAAATGCTTTATTTCTATATTCATAAATGCATCATTGAATAAAGTCTATTGCTCACTATTTGAGGAGAATAAGAGCTTAAAGGCACTGTTGAAATAAAATTTTCAGCCAGGCATCGTGGCACATGCCTTTAGTTCCAGCACTTGGGAAGCAGTTGGAGCTGCTGAGTTGGAGGCCATCCTGATCTACAGAGGGAGTTCCAGGGCTACACAGAGAAACACTGTCTAAATAAATAAATAAATAAATAAATAAATAAATAAATAAATAGGTTAACCTGTAGCTCGGTTGGTAGAGTGCTTGCTTGAGCGTGCATGAAGCCCTGGTTTCAATCAGCAATATACAAAGGGAATGTAGTGGCTGAAAATTTGAATCCCAGCACTTGGAAAGTACAGGAAACAAGATCGGAAACTCAAAGTCATTCCTGGCTATGGAGTTCAAGTCCAGCAAAGAGTTTAGGTATGTAGCTCAGTGGTGGAACATTGCCTAGAATTAACACAACACTGGATCTCCTGAACCAAAAAAAAAAAAAAAGGAAAGGACAGGATTGGAGAGGAGAGGAGAGGAGAGGGGGGGGGAGGGGAGGGGAGGGGAGGGGAGGGGAGGGGAGGAGAGGAGAGGAGAAAGAGAAAATAGAACATAATATATGATAAGCTAATTGAAGCAGTTCTCGAACCTTCTAAACCTCCTATTAGGAAAGTCAGCATGATGGTGATACATCCACTCAGAAGACAGAAACAAGTATATCTCTGTGAGTTCAAGTCCGGCCTGGTCTACATAGTAAAGTGAGTTCCAAGACATCCAAGACTCTGTAGAGAGACAGTGGAAAGAAAGAAAGAAAGAAAGAAAGAAAGAAAGAAAGAAAGAAAGAAAGAAAGAAAGAAAGAAGGAAGGAAGGAAGGAAGGAAGGAAGGAAGGAAGGAAAGAAAGAAAGAAAGAAAGAAAGAAAGAAAGAAAGAAAGAGGGAGGGAGGGAGGGAGAGAGAGGGAGAGAGAGAGAAAGGAAGAAAGAAAGAAAGAAAGAAAGAAAGAAAGAAAGAAAGAAAGAAAGAAAGAAAGGCGAGCCCTTAGTGGTTCTCACCTTGTGGATAGAGATGAAGGTGTGGCATATCAGATATCCTGCATATCAAATATTTACATTACAATCCATAACAGTAGCAAAATTACAGTTTGAAAGAAGCAATGAAAATAATTTTATGGTTGAGGGTCATCGCAATGTAAGGAATTGTATTAATAGCTCCAGCATTAGGAAGGTTGAGAACCACTGCTCTAAATTAATATATCTTCATTCTACCATTGTGTTGACTACAATCGTTTCTAAAAGCTGTCACTTAAAGATTATTCATAGTGCTACAATGAAGCCAAACAGTCATCCAACTCATTGGGACTTTTTCCAGCTCCCAGTGGCCACCTGGGATTCATCTCTGTTCTCTGATTCTGTGTTTCAAATCAGCTGCACAAAGATACTATTGCTGTCAACAGGGCCTCTGATTTATTTAATCCTTCTCCAAAGTAGGTTCTGAAATTCTTACAGTTTAACCCCTACTTAAGCCAGCAGCTCCCCTGCAAGGACTGGCTCTTTCTTGCACTGTCAAGTGTCTCCGGAGGACTCTGTGGCACCACAGTGCCCTGAGAAAGGGAGCCCATCTTTTTCCCCTACTGCTCTACTTTACTGTTTCCACTCACCATCAACAAGGTGTTTAATAGTGCTTTCCACTACTCCTTTCTGAAAATAGCAACATGCAAACACACTGTGTATATATTAGTCAGAACTCAATAAATGCCTATACTTCACACTTGAAGGATGATATCATTTGGTTAATTTAATCAGCAATGAATGAGAACACTTATTCTAGCTTCTCCTGGCCCACTTCTGTAATACCAACACTTACCGGGCTGAGGCAGGAGGATGGCAAGTTCCTGACCATACATAGTGAGTGAAACACCAGTTCAAAAACAAGAAAAAAACACACTTACTGAATTTTTAAAAATAATTTTAATATACTATGTGCATAGTTGGATAGGTACATGCTGTGTGCCACTGTGCATATGTGAAGATCTGCGGACATCTTTCAGGAGTCAGTTCTCTCTTTGTGTTGTGTAGGTTCCAGGATTCAATTTAGGTCATCAGGCTTGGCAGCGAGCACTTTTTCCTACGGGAAGAGGGGTGGGGGTGGGGGGGCTCTGACAAGTTTGAGAAATGATCTGAGAGTCTTTCTTAAGATTAGAAACTTCAGACTTATTCACAATCCTATCCTTCCCCCGGTTTGATTGAGTTCTAGAAAGTATGGGATTGACTTCCTAGAATACCCACTGACTTTTTGTTAGGCTTTTTGAGTGTTTTCATGCAGCGGTAAAAAATAATAGAGATCCGTCAGACTTCTTACCCAGCTTCACCAGTGCTGTTACACAACATCACAACGAGGTCACTGGCGCTGCCACAGTTAAGTGCAATCTGCTTTGAGCCTGGGATCCTTTTGAGGCCCTTTTTGCAGCCACGCCCACTTCCCCCCTCTCACGCAGCCACTCCCACTTCCCTCTCTCCTCCCCTATTCTTTGGCTCTTGCTAACCTCTAATCTTTCATTCATTTCTCTAATTCTGATATTTCAATACTATTACATAAATGTGTGCAGGGGAGATGGCTCAGTGGCTAAAGTGTTTGACTCCCAAGAGTGAGGACTGCAGTCAGTTCCCCAGAACTTCCACAGAGCGAGCTGGTTGGCAAGACTAGCCACATCCATGAACCCTGGGTTTGACTGGAAGACCCTGACTCAAAGAATAATGTAGAAGAACAACCAAGGAAGATTCCTGACATCAGTCTTGCACATGCAAGTTCACAACAACCACGCAAGACAGCCATTAATGTACACATTCACACCGTACAAATGAAAATGAAGAAGTAAGAACGCCAACTAGAACCTTCAGGACTTCACATTTTTTGACCCAGCCTAATTCTCTAAAGATTCATTTGGACATCAGTGGTTTGCTGCCTCTAACTGTTCAGTAGTATTTCATAGTATAGATCCATCGTGGTTAATAGTGGTAGCGTAAATGTTAATAGAGTGGCTAACAGTTTGTTTACCCACTGAAGGACTTCTGAGTAGTTATTGGCCTTTGCAAATAAAGCTGTTATAAACATTCTATGTGAACTTAAGTATTTATTTATCTGGGGGAAAATGCTCAGAAGCATAATGCTAAGTCATGTTTAGTTTTTGTGTTTTGTTTATTTGTTTGCCTTTTGAGTTTTGTTTATGTTTATGGTTTTCGGATTTGTCTGTTTGTCTTGGTTTTGGTTTTTTCAAGGGTGGGGGGTGTTCTTTTGTTCTGTTTTGTGTTCTAAGAAACCACCAACGAAACACTCTCCCAGACGATATCATAGCTTAAATTCCCACTTGCGGCTGGAGAGATGGCTCAGCGGCTAAGAGCACTAACTGCTCTTCCAGAGGTCCTGAGTTCAAATACCAGCAACCACATGGTGGCTCACAAACATCCATAGTGAGATTGGATGCTCTCTTCTGGTGTGTCCGAAGACAGCTACAGTGTACTCATAATAAAATAAATAAATAAATAAATAAATAAATAAGTAAATAAATAAATCTAAAAAAAAAAATTCCCACTTGCCCAGTATGAGCCATCCAAGTTCTTTTCCTATTTATTAGTCTTCTATTTTGTGGTGGTTAGTTTTTAAGCCAAATCCAGAGGTCAAATTTAGAGCAAAAACTTTCAAGAAGAGTGTAATACTCAATCTGTGGTGTTATGTTCACAGCACTTGGGTATGCATTTTTAATATCAGCTACTCTTATTTTAAATTCCACAAGCTAATCATAATGTATTTGGATAAATTACTTAATATCTCTGAACCTCAATTTCCTTATATGTGAAATCTGCTCCTGCATGCCAAGCACCATATATAGTAAAAGGATAATGTGCCCAGGTGGTGATCGTGAGCGCCTTTAACCCCAACACTCAGGAGACAGAGGCAGGCAGATCTCTGTGAGTTCAAGGCTAGCCTACTCTACAGAGCTAGTTCCAGGACAGTCAGAGCTACACAGAGAAACTCTGACTTGAAAAAAAAAACAAAACAAAAACAAAACAAAACAAAAAAGTAAAAAAAGAGGATAATGCATGTAAAGAATGTAGGGTACAATGTGTGTTCAATATGTGAGTTCTCTCCCTTTACGCTGTTTGATTTCCCGCTGGTTTTGCCTTTGTTCCAGGAACTGAACCCAGAATCTCATGCATGCTAGACATTGATCTAGTATTCTTACATATTTGAATATATGTGGTTTCTCTTAATTCCCCACTTTTTTTTCTCCATTCATTTCGGCTATTATTTTAAAAACTGGTTAACATAATAAAATAGCATGAAATTATTTTCAATTTTTAAGATATTTATTAATTTTACATATGTGAATACACTGCACTGTCGGCATCTTCAAACACACCAGAAGAGAGCATCGGATCCCATTACAGATGGTTGTGAGCCACCATGTGGTTGCTGGGAATTGAACTCAGGACCTCTGGAAGAACAGTCAGTGCTCTTAACCGCTGAGCCATCTCTCCAGTGCTTTTCTACTTACCAGCTGTTTGGACTCAGATGATTGCTTGGCATCTCAATCAACACCAAGGATGGCCCATCTCAAACCTTTGGGATAAATAGGAGCAGTCCTGCCTCTGAGAGCAAGAGAAGGAGAGTTCAAATAAGAAAATGTGAATATTTTGTAAGCAGTAACAAATGACTCCACCATATGAAAATAGAATGAAGCAAGATACAGAAATAATGTCCTTCTTACCTTCATTTTGCCAGAGAATACATTTTAGAGAGGTGGCAGGATGCTGAATGACTTCTGAGTCCAGCATAGTGCTGGCCAAAGCATGAAATACCAGAACTGTATTCGATATTTCCCTTGCATTTGCTTTACTATCAAAAAATACAAAATTATTCACTATAATAAATACAATCATTGGCTATAACACCTTCAGTTGATCCTAGGTCAGCAGTTGCCCTAGGCATCTGAAAAAGGATAAGTTCAAGATGGGTTCCAGTGGCCATCTCTTAAGAGCAGAGCCTGGGCTGTGTTGCCTTCTGTCTGGCTCCACTAGGTAGCAGCAGGTTATATAACCCAAACCTTCATTATGAATAAAGGGCCTAAAACAGTTCCTTCAAAGATCCTTCCATGTAATACCAAAGAATGTGGGCAGAAACCATATACAGAAGAATGGCAGGAGAGACTTTGCATCCTCCCAGTTGAAACCTTGAGTCACAAAACAAGGCAGCCCAACCATGGATCAGCCCAAGTATTTTTAAACAGTCAAGACTGACATTTAGCCTAAAATACTTAAGCCTGTTACCAGATTCTTCCTTATCTTACCCCTTGTTTATTTTTTACATGGGTTTATTATGTTATTATATATCAGTAAAAGAGCTTAAATACTTTTTTCAAATAAATATTCATAAAATCTATTAGGCAGAGGTTTTAAGTAAAAAACAAAAGAAAATTATTCCCCGGGTTATTTTATTTCCATAAGGTGTTATTTTTATTCCAGTTCGATCTTCATGTTGGATACCAATAAGGCATAAGTACACTGATGCAGAAAAATTATCTGAAAAGGTATATTACATAGGAGCATTTCCCATATCTTCTCTTGCTTTTCCCCTTGTTTGTTTGAAACTGAGTCGTACTGTCACGTAGACTGGTCTTGAACTCGTGGGGGCCTCTTGCCTCAGCTTTATGAGCTGCTAGGATTATAAGCATGCTCCACTACACCCAGATCCCATGTCTTTCTTGACCCTCTGAGGATGCCAGAAGCTGTCTTCTATCCTTGCAGCTTGGGGACTGGAAAGCAATGCAGGCCCCTCAGAGAGAGCTCCTGAGGTTTGTGAGCTATCAATATCCTCATGATCAATGCTGTCAGGAAAGCAGCCCTGGCTTGCCACTCATTGTAGAACCATGCCAAAGAAAATTGCTGAGGCTAATTAAGTACTTAGTACACACCAGACCCTCTACTAAGAACAGCATGTGAATATTCTCACTAGTGTTAAGTAATAACTTTGACTCTTATCCATCCTTTACAGATGTAATCCCTGCAGCAGAGAATAGCTACCTAATTTTTCCAATACCATACAATTAATAGCTATGGTCCAGGATTCTCTGGACCCTGCACTTAATCACTGGGCTGTGCTGCTTGACATGCACAGCAATAGCATCACCAGGAACCACTGAGATTTGCTTTTTAACAACAAAATGAATGTTATGTTTCTCCCTGGGATCAGAATACTTGTCAGACTACATCACTAACCTTGACCTCAATATCAAAAGTAAAACACAATCATATTTTCAGGACTTATTCTCACAAACAGAATTCGAAAAAAAAAGGATCTCATCAATTCTTAAAAGTACATTAAGTCTCTTCTAACACAATAAAGTGCGTACAGCTTCTTATTTCTTCCACAGTTTAAATTGCTAACCTCTAATATAATGAGAAAGAGACAGTATGTGAGCCAGTTATTTCCAAGTATCAGAGATAGCAGTGAGAGAAGAGAGAGAGAGAGAGAGAGAGAGAGAGAGAGAGAGAGAGAGAGAGA